AACGTGGCGGTTCAAGATAATAATAAACTTTATTTATACAGAATTTTTCAATAAAGTCACAAACTGCCTTTACTGGATTTAAAACATTTCAGGAGGCACAAGGAAAATAATTAATCAGACAGTTAATTAATTGATTATATAGACGTGAGGTAGAAATAAATACTAAAAGATAAAACATGATGTAAAAAGAACCAAACACAGCCAAAAAATACTACATTAAAAGAATAAAACATGAAATATATGATAATAACAATAATACTAATATAATATGAGGCATTAAATAGATGTTTTAAGAAGTGATTTAAAAGATAAAAACAGTTCATTTAAGGCAACAAAAGCACAAATATTCTTTATATTCAGGTGATTAAACACTATATCTCATAATATAAAAGATTTCTGTCATTAGATCCTACTGAATGTTTCCACACTGGAATCTTTAAGACTTAGAAAGTTTTGTAAAATCCTGGAATATCCCACAAAGTCTTTTTCATCCAACTAACACAAAGGAATTTCCTTCAAGGTCACATTTAAGCGCCTTCAACCACCGCCCGCCGCCAGCAGCTCTGGCAGCGTGGACACGGCGAGGAGCTCAGCCACCGTACAGCGTGCCAAAATGGCAGAAGATGAGTGTTATCCATTTCATTAAAACAGATTGCCTCAGCGATGAAGAAAGAATCCATCACAAACCCATAAACGGCGAGCAGCTCGGCCCCCCCGCCTGCTCGCCGGTTTCACTTACTGTGAAGAATTCTCATCGCATTGAATGAGTCTTTTGGTTTTATGTGTGTTTGAGGCAGTTTGACCCAATTTATCATTTGTTAATGGACATTTTAAGGCAGGTTTAACCTTCCTGGTGGCGTTTTAAACTGCACTCGTACATCGTTTACTCTTCTGTTTGTTGTCCTTGTGGTTATCTGTCGTGTATGACCTGATGCCTTTTACACAAATAAAGTCCCTAGTGGACTAATAACATTATTTTGACATACATAAACATGGAAACACAACTTTTTATTTTTTTAACATCTTTTTATGCACATTTTGCCCTTTTTGATGAGAAGGCTGCAGCTTTCTTTAACTAAAGTCGTCCTGAACTATTTTCCTACAATATGAATGAAATTCTATCATTTTTGAGCAGATTATTTCCTGTTTAGGAACTTTTTATACAATTCTTTGTCTGTCTATTGTGTATTTTTTAATAATTTTTAACAATCATACAGACTTAATAAGCTTCTTTTTACTTCTTTTAGACATTTTACATTTCTTCACAGAAATGAACTAAATTCTAAGTTAAAGGCCGACTGTGTGTATTTTCTCTATTTACTTCTTACACGCCATCAAGAAGGCCTCATGACCCCCTGTGAAGCTTTGGCGACCTCTAGTGGGGACCCCGAAACCAACTTGTTTTATTATCCTTTTATTTGATTTTATTTATTTCTCTGCTTTTTTCTCAATATTTATTATTTTTTTAGTTCTATTGATTTAAGTTTAATCCCTCATTTCTGTATA